ACTGGGAGAGTGGTGGAGGATGGCCCACCCACTGGGAGACCCGGAAGAATCTCCTGGCTCCTGTCTTTGATCAGCACAGCTCTGGCCATTGCGGCCAGTTGGGGAGTGAACCAGCGGATGGAAGGCCCCTCGAAATGTTTTCTGGGGAACCTAATCAACTTGCATTTGTAATGGCTAATAAAGCATGCAGAAGGAAAATGCAAAGCGGATTTGGTTAGAAGTCCAGGCCAGGGGTTGGCATTGCGGTGCAGTGGGTTAAACTGCTCCCTCTGACGATACTGTGTGCCAGTTCAGGTCCTGGCTGCTCCACTTCTGCTCCAGCTCCCTGCTAATACGGCCCAAGTACTTAAACCCCTGTCACCCATGTAGGAGACCCAGAAGGAGTTTCAGGCTTCTACCTTCAGCCTGGCCCAACCCCAGCCATTTCACCCATTTGGGGAGTGAGCCAGTGGATGGAAGATCTCTCTCTCTCTCTCCGTAAGTTCCCTTCAAATAAGTAAATACAATTATATATTAAACATATATAAAGTACAGGGCAGTTGGAGTCACCGAGGCCCACGTGGCACTCTTGTCCCCTCCTGGCCCCCCTAATGTCTGCCTTTCCCGGGGTGCACTACCTTCACCAGACGGTGGACTGGGAGCAGCAGACTCAACTCAGTGATTTTTTTTAATTTTTTTTTTATTTTTTAATTTTTTTTGACAGGCAGAGTAGACAGTGAGAGAGAGAGAGACAGAGAGAAAGGTCTTCCTTTGCCGTTGGTTCACCCTCCAATGGCCGCTGCGGCCAGCACGCTGCGGCCGGCGTACCGCACTGATCTGATGGCAGGAGCCAGGAATCCGGCGCCCCAACCGGGACTAGAACCCGGTGTGCCGGCGCCGCAAGGCGGAGGATTAGCTTAGTGAGCCGCGGCGCCGGCCCTCAACTCAGTGATTTATTGCTCAGTGGTTGAGCTCTGGGCTCTCCCGGCGAGGGAGACATCTGAAGTTAAGGCTGGAATGAGGTATGAGGATTGGATCTTCCGAAGGCAGTTCCCCTATTTTCAGTGTCTGGAGGGGAAGTGCGTCTTGGCTGAGATCAGAAAAGGCTGGAGTTGGAGTGGAAAGGACAGAGATCCAGAACACACAAGGGGGATCCTGGCCACCTGCACTGCCAGTCCATCAGCTGGCTTGCACCCGAGCTCCTCAGTTTTGCCAGATTTCTTTATTTCTTTATCTGAGAGGTAGAGTTACAGACAGTGAGAGGGAGAGTCAGAGAGACAGGGCTTCCTTCAGTTGGTTCACTCCCCTAATGGCCGCTACGGCCGGCGCTGTGCCAATCCGAAGCCAGGAGCCAGGTGCTTCTTCCTGGTCTCCCATGCGGGTGCAGGAGCCCAAGCACTTGGGCCATCCTCCACTGCCCTCCTGGGCCACAGCAGAGAGCTGGACTGGAAGAAGGGCAGCCGGGACTAGAATCGGCGCCCATTTGGGATGCTGGCGCCGCAGGCGGAGGATTGACCTACTATGCCAAGAAACCGGCCCCGCCAGATTTCTTTAGTCTTTGAACCTCTGGGAAGTGTCACAGACAGAAGGCGGAAGCTAGGAGCTCCATAGCCAATGGAGAATGACCCACGCAAATTCTTCCCTTGTATTTTAAAGCATTCATTGTTTCCTCTCCAAAGAAAATGAGCCTACTAAACTTCATCTGTGGAGTCCTGGACTTTAATTATACAAGGCAACCTCAAAAAGTTTGTGAAAAAATGAAATTAGAAGCTTATTTTTTGGGGGGGGCCTGGTGCTGTGCCCTAGTAGGTAAAGCCGCCACCTGTGAGGCCGGCATTCCATACGGACTCTAGTTCATGTCCTGGCTGCTCCAATTCCAATCCAGCTCCCTGCTTAATGGCCTGGGAAAAGCATCACAGGATGGCTAAAGTGTTTGGGCCCCTGCCACCCATGTGGGAGTCAAACTGTGGCCATTGTAGACAATGGGGGAGTGAACCAGCAGATGGAAGATCTCTCTCTGTGTCTCTCCCTCTCTCTCTCTGTAACTGAATTTCAAATATATAAATAAATATTTTTTAAAAAGAGAGAGGAAAGAAAAAGGAAATTCCAAGTTTCCCTTCTTCCCAGGGTGGAGGGATTCTCCCACAGGGGCTTATGCACCGCCAAGCGGAGGGTGGTTATTGGATCCTGGCTATCGCTCCAGCCGGGTCACATGGAGACACCTGGGTCCTATGTGCCTGCACACACCACAAAGTCTTCGCATCTACTTGGGGCTCCAGGGGGAGCGGGCACAGGCACCCACCGGTCCTGGATTTCCCCAGGCTCTTGAAGGCTCTGCTGCTCACAGGCAGCCATGCTCGGCTCCTCTGCCCCACTGCCCCCACCCCCTTTACTCCAGGCTTGGAGGCATTGGTCCTCCGAACACAGGGGCCTGTGCTCTCTTTGGTCCAGGCACATCCCTCCCCCATGGGGATGAGCTCTCTGCCCAGCAGGCCTGGGGGGCTGGGTGGGGGTGCGGATGCACAGCCAGGGTACCACCCTCCATCAGGGAACCTGCCTGCCTTTATCTTTGCAACTATCTTGAGGGTCTCCCTGACTTGGGACTTACATGTGTGACTGAATCCTGGGACGAAATAAACCCTGAACCCCAACGGCCTCCTAACTGTACCCCACCATCTCGGGGAATGGGAGAGGAAGGGCGGCGGGCAGCCGCTGCCGGTGGGGAGGAAGGGGTTCTTTGTACCCGAGCCTGCAGGGCTCCGGGCTCCCCGCACATTCTGCCTGAGGCCCCCATCTAGGTTTTCGGATCTTGGTGACAGGTTTATGACACTGAGGACAGGACATTTCAGTGGCCCGCGCTCTCCTGAGGAAAGATCCTCACGGGCCCACTGACAAGCCAACGAGTGAACCAATTAAAGCGAGCTGGAGCGCCATTCCTCACATCGCCGTCAGCGACAGCTGCCCCGCAAGTGTGTGCCGCTATTGCTTACATATTTCCCTCAACAGAACCCTCCGCGTGCAATACCTTCGCTTAGCTATAAACGACAGCAAGACAAAATAACTGCAAAGCTTGAAAACCGAACCAATCAATAGAACTCAGATAACAAGCGTCTTGCTCTTGGCTGGGAAGACAGCCAAGTGATAGGCGTTTGGAATTCAATTTTTTTTTAAAAGGGAAAACAATTAGTAAATACAGTTTGCTAGGCAAGATCTATCAAAGATGTGGGAGAAAAATGATAAAAAATGGTCATTCATGCTTTAAGCAAAGTCTATTTATGGTTTAAATTTGGCTACTTTAACACAAGAGGCAAATATTTGCTTTTCTATGTTAGCCTTAAAAGTATTGATGTATTTGAATAAAGATTAGGCGAACAAATAATCGCTGTTAACATCCGAGGCGTGCTGGAAGCTGAAGGCCGCGGAAGCCACTCAACAAAATTAGAATCAAAAATAGTGACGGGCGTAGGGGGTTGCGGAACTGGTGGGTGTTCCTGGTGCCGGGAGGAACTTCTCGCCCTCTGAGCCGGCTGAGGGTTGGTACCACTCAGGCGCCCCGCTCTGTGTAAGGAGAGCAAGTCTCCCCATTAAGACTGCGTCCCTGGCGCCTCGGGAAATGCGACGTCCAAGTTCTCAGCCTGCAGCTGAGTTTGGCAGTACCGACTTGGGACTGGCACACTTGTATCCCCAGAAGCCCGCCCCCCCCCCACCCGGGCGGGTGGTGAGCAGTGAAGGAAGAAAGAGAAGAATCAGCAGGCACCAACATCTCACGGCTGGGAGGGTCCTCTCCTTCGTGGTGGACAGCCCCTTCCATTTACAGACCCGAGAACAAGGGGCGAGAGGCGCAGAGTCCCTGGCACCTGAGCAGGTCCCAAGGCCAGTGCCCAGTCTGTTCCCTCTTGGTTTCCTAGAGCGCCATTTCTGTGTGATGTCAACCCATGGTCCCTCTCCTCATGGGGGTCCTGTGTCGAATGCTGGTTCCAACACATTTCAACAGACTGCTCTTTCCCTCCTGCAGGAATCCTTGGAACCTTTCGTATACCCTGAAAATCTCTAAGAGGAAAAATAGGTAACCTGAAAATGTTTGATGAGTTCATTCACACACAGCGCGAGCTTTGTCTCTAAATAGCTTATGGACGTGCTGATGGGGCCCATGTTGTGACGCAGTGGGTTAGCTGCTGCCTGTGATACCTGCACCGGTTCAGGTCCCACATGCTCCACTTCTAATTAACGCATCTGGGAAAGCAGGGGAAGATGACCCAAGTGCTTGGGACCCAGCCCCCACATGGGAGACCCGGATGGAGTTCTAGGCTCCTGATCTTGTAATCTTGTAGGGAGTGAGCCAGTGGATGGAAGATCTCTCTCTCTCTGTGTCTCTCCTCCTCTCTCTGTAACACTGCTATTCAAATAAATAAATCTTGGGGTGTGTGGGGGGGGAGTGTGTCTAGAAGGGAGTTTGTTTCAGAAGCTAAGGAGTTCATTTTGTTGGTTCCAGGGATATAATTTTCAGGAAATGCAAGTCTTCCTTGCAGAAAATGGCAAGAAAAAGGGGCCCTCTACCCACTTTCCTTGCATTTCAACTCTCCTCTCTGCTTCTTGCTTGTTATTTGCAGTGAGAGGTACCTGCAACTTGAGGACTGGAAGGGCTGGGCCCTGAATAAGTTAGGGTTTGGGTTTGGGGAGTGGGGAGCCAACTTGAAGAATGCCCTCACCCTCCGTGTGGCACGAATCCAAGAGCCAAAGCTTCCCTGAGCCGTGCACTCTTGGGGAGGGGTCCCTACCCACAGGCAGCAAAGAGTGAGGTCCCCAGGGAAGCGAGTTCACGTGGGACCCAGTAACTCAGCAGATGCCCAATCACAGCCCAGCGAATATAGAAAACTGGGGCCGTCAGTCCCATATTCTGCGGGACATCTAGAGCACTGGGCAGGCTGGGCTGGGAGGAGAATGCCATGTGGAAGGCAGAGACTGCGTTAGGAAGTGTTAGTGTGGTCTTGCTTTGTGGCTCAGAGGGCCAACAAGTGGAGAGGGGGTGGGAGAATAAACACCGTGTGTCGCAGGAAGGGTTGGGCCAATGGGAAGAGTGACTCTGTGAGGTGGGGACAGAGGGTGACAACCCAGGCTTCCTGGTGCATGACAATCCACTCGCAGAAGAGACACGGGCTCTCCTTTCGCCCGGAGCAGTTTTTATGGCCCTAGAATGGGGAGTCTCCTCTCATGCTTGGATCATTCAGAAGTGGGCACTGTGGGTAGATTTTATCAGATCCCCTCAAAGGTTTATTTTTATAAACCGGAATTTAGCACTTTGCATTTGCAAAGCAATTAATAGTGTATGTGTTAGTTAATATCCCATTTTTGGTTCAAGAGCAATATCTTCTTACTTAAAAATTAATAGCTATAGCACAAAGGGCTTATAAAAAGAGATGTATTACTCCGAGAGGCAATTCTATATAGTGCTAAGTTTTTATTTGCCATTACTTTAATTACTTAGATATTATTTTATATGTTTTCATTATTTTAAAGTGCCTTGGGAGTCTGAAAGATGTCTTCCAGATAATGTATTCCATTTTAGCCAGAACAGCCTAATCATAAGTAGCTGTAGATTAATGCGTTTATCACTTCCAATTTCTTTTTAATGTTCTACAAGCAAGTGAAACCGATGTCTCGGGAAAGACTGATACCTCCCAGGCCGTGGGATTCCTCCTCAGCAGATACTTCTTCCTTAGGTTAGGACTATCCCTGAAAAGGAAAAGAAACATGCTAACAATAGACCAGAGGGCTGAACCGCGCTGTGACGAGCTAGCAAGAGCCGGAGCTTAGGAAACAGTTCCCAGGCGGCGGCTTCTCATTTCCTCCTCGGTGGGCCGATGTGACTGTTTGTTCTGCAGCGGTGGCAGCGTTTTGGGGAGGCCCGAAAATGTCCTGGAGTCCCGTGGTTTTTCCTTGAGCAGGCGAGCGGGAGATAAATGTGACTCATGGTCATGGTCCCTTGATGAGCGTTTTTAAAAATAACCGATAGCCTCTATTTTTAGAGGACCTGCGGGCTGCAGCGCTGCGGGCTCCCTTTTTATACAGAAAGTAATTAACAGTCTCTAGTCCCCGGAGAGAGCGGGGAGTGCAGCAGTCCCTGGTACGGAGACACAAACACGCAAGGCCACCCTCGGTCCCCGCGCGCCACGGCAGGACACGGCTACACCCCGCGGGTGGAAGATCACTGGAGAAAAGGCACTAGTTCCCAACTTCCCAGCGGAGCTACAAATAGGGGAACCGAGGCAAAACCGGCGAAATCGCCTGGCGCTGTCTCTGCAGAGTTTCCCCGTGACTGGGTGCCTGTGTCACTCACTTTCACTTCCCAGTCAGAGCTCGAGAGGTCTGACAACGTGTGGCTAGTTTCAGTGGAACAACTGAAGTCCTCGGATAGAGACCAGAAGGGCTAGTTATACAAATTCACTCTGAGTCGACTGAACGTTGGACAAAGTGAGAGAACCTGTGGTTTGAGCAGAGTGAGTCTGGCGAGGGGGAGCAGGTGCGCATCCGCCCAGTCCTGTGGTGCGCCCGGAGCCTCATCGCGAACATGCGCACACACTGAGGTAGCAGAGGGGGTGTTCAGCCTAGTCCCTCGCACACCCTAGTCTCACCTAAGAGGGCCTGGGTTGGATGCCTGGCTCCGGCTCCTCACTCCAGCCGCCTGCGAACAGACCGTGGGCAGGCAGCACTGATGGCTGGAGTGACTGGGCCCCTGCCACCCACCTGGGGGAATCTAGATTTAGATTTCCTGGATGTGGGCATTTGGGGAGTGAACCGGTACATGCAAGATCTGTTTCTCCCTGTCTCTGTTTCTCAAATAAAAACACTTCTTTAAAAAAAAAAAATTCGCTTATGGGGGCCAGTGCTGTGGCATAGCAGGTAAAACTGCTGCCTGCAGTGCCAGCACCCCATATGGGCGCCAGTTTGAGTTCCATCTCCGCTGTGGCCTGGGAAAGCAGTAGGAGATGGCCCAAGTGCTTGGGCCCTTACACCCACGAAGGAGATCCAGAAGAAGCTCCTGGCTCCTGGCTTCGGATCAGCCCAGCTCGGGCCACTGCAGTCATTTGGGGAGTGAGCCTGCGCTCTCTCTCTCTCTCTCTGCATCAGCCTCTCGGTAACTCTGCCTTTCAAATAAATAATAAATCTTCAAAAAAACACAGTGTCACATATTTTTAAAAATGAGTTATTTTGGGATGGCTATGATGGACCTGTCTTTGTGTATTTCCTGAATTTCAGGAAAATTGATTAAAACATTACAGAGGCTACCCATCTGCAAATGCTGCTGGCTTGACACGTTCTTGGAAGATGACTGTAAGCCAGGTTACTATGTGTTATGGGTAATACGTATTTTCACAGTAAGTGTTCAATAAATGAGAATCCTGATGAATAGTTGTTTTTCTGAATGTTACATTCTACCAGTTTGTTTTCTCATTACAGTTTCCTATCGCTTCTCTTGCTGCAGCTCTTCTTAAATTAAATGCTGCTGTTTGGTTAGAGTACCTTCTTCAAGCAATTCTTTCACACAGGGCTTGTGAATGGTGTATTTCCCAAGCCCTTACTTTCCTGAAATACCTCTTATTTGTTCCCATGGGAATGATATTTTCACCTGATGCACACAATCTTTTCCAACTAGAATTTTATTTTTTAATTTTAAATTTTAAAAAATTTTAGGGCTGGCAGCGTGGCACAGTAGATTGAGTCCCGGCTGCCCCACTTCCTGTCCAGCTCCCTGCTAATGCGCCTGGGAAAGCAGCAGAAGATCGCCCATATGGGAGACCCAGATGGCTCCTGGCTTCTGGCTTTGGCCTAGCCCAGCCTGACTGCTGTAGCCATCTGTGGAGTGAACCAGTGGATGGAAGACCTCTCTGTGTCTCTCTATAACTCTTTCAATAGATAAATCTTTAGGAAAAATACTTGTATACTTTCAATTTACTTGAAAGATGTGGGACACTGAAAGAGAACGAGAGAAAGGAAGGAGAAAGAGAGAAAGGAGAGAGACACTCCCCAGATGGCTACCTCCTGTGATGCCAGCAACTCCTGAGCACCAGTTCAAGTCCCAGCTGGTCTGCTTTACATCTAACTTCCTGCTAATGCACCTGGGACGGCAGAGGAAGATGGTCTAAGTATTTAGGCCCCTGCCACCCAAGTGGGAGATCTGGATGGAGTTCTTGGTCCTGGCTTTGGCCTGGCCCAGCCCTGGCCATTGGGGCTATTTGGGAAGTGAACCAGAGGGTGGAAGATATGTCTCTCATTGTCTCCCCTTCTCTTTGTAACTCTCACTTTGAAATACATAGATACATCTTTTTTAAAAAGAGAGAGATCTTCCATTGCTGGTTCACTCCTCAAATGTCCACAATAGCCAGGGCTGGGCCAGGCTGAAGAAGACAGGAGCAAGGAACTTCACTGGGGTCTCCCGCGTGGCTGGCAGGGACTCAAGTACTTGAGCCATCACCTGCTGCTTCCTGGGGTGTGCATTAGCGGGAACTTGAACCAGGAGTGAAGCCAGGACTCAGAGCTCCTATATGGGATGCGAGAATTGCAGGCAGTGGCTTAACCCACTGACATACAACACCTGCCCCACTTGTTGATTTCTTAATCAGAAGCCAAGTGATGAAAGCACAGTGAACCAAAGTATTCACTCCCACTGGGCACAGTTTTGTCCTTTGAAGCGCAGCAACAAATTTGCTAAAAAATCAACTTTAGGCTGCAAAACTTGAATATGGAATCTGCCACTCACTCCATTAGTGAGCTCCTACCGGGTGCTGGGAACCGCATACGCAGCAATAGCAAAACAGACCAGGCCTGTCCCTCACAGACTATGACCGCTGGCATTTTTGCTGGCTCATGGTCTCACACATACCTGCATGCCTAAATCCTCCCACCATCCCCCACCATCTCAGCCCTTTTGGAAAGCAGTTCGGCAACCTGTATCCCAGGCTCCAAGTGTCAACATTCCCTTTGATGCAAGCACCTCCCATTTTAGGACATTCATCCTGAGGAAGTTAAATGAACGAAGCTGAAAAATATGTGTATGTAAAGATGTCTATGCGCATAAGCAAGAAAATTTGTAAGACAACCTCGGTGTGCAGCACGGGAAAGGTTAGTGACTCTACGGTAGACTCCCAGAAGAACAAATATGCAGAAATTGAAGATTATAATAAGCAAGACCAGAGTGGTTATCAGAGAAAATTCTTGTAATGTTAAGTGAAAAGAGCTGACTATGAAATTGTTTATATAGCTGATTATGATCAATTGCATAAAATACATATGCGGGTGGGCCAGACCGAAGGGAATACACTGTGACTAAAAACACATGTGGGCTGCAGTTACCAAGATGTCAGGAGAATTTTCTTTCTTTCGTCCTCAAATGCGTTTTGCTTTCCTATTCAGACCTTTTAAAGCTGGCTGTAAAAATGTTCCTGGAGCTGGCATGGTGACACAGTGGGTCTAGCTGCTGCTTGGGAGTTTGACATCCCTACTGGAGCGGCCGTTTGAGTTCTGGCTGCTCCGCTTCTGATCCACCTTCCTGCTAATGTGCCAGGGGAGGCAGTGGGAGATGACAAGTGCTTGGGCCCCTGCCACCTGTATGGGAGACCAAGATGGAGCTCTGGGCTCCTAGCTTTGGCCTAGACCTGCTTCAGTAGTGGCAGTGATTTGAGGAGTGAACTAGTGGATGGACGATCTCTCTCTTTGTCTCTATTCCTTTCAAATAAAAAAAAAAGTATTTTTTAAAAAAGTTACTAAATGATTCCTAGAGTTCAGAGACCAGAATGGTGTTTTAGAGTCTAAATCATTACTGGGTTGGTTGCTTGTTGATTTTTGAGTCCTAGGTCAAACAACCTAACATCCTACCCACCCCAGCTTCCGGCTCCCAACCCTTCTCACCCACATCCTGGCTTCCTTTTCTTGAGATCTGAAGAGTTCTATCTAGAACTCAGTGTTGTATTACTTATGCACCTGTTTAACCACTTGGTTCCCCCAGCCAGAATATAAACCTCATGAGAAGAAAGACCATAACTTTAGTTACCCATAGCCCCAGTGTCTTTAAAGCCAATAGTTGGAGAATATTTGCTAAAGGAATGTGTTCATCATTCATTCGTTCCATGGTCTTGATGAGCCAGGGATAAAACTTCCTTCATGTCATAAACTATCATACCTTCCCTGATCTGACCTTGGCTTCTCTGTCCTCACCTCCTGCCACTTCTGGTCTTGAGTTTCAAGCTCTGCTCATGCTGACTGCTGGAGGTTTCCTGTAGTCACCCATGCATGCCTCTCTGTGCCTCTGCCCAGGATGCCCTTTCTACCTCACTTCACCCGGTCAGCTCCCACTCAGGAATGGGCACAGCCGCATCTTCTCCACCCTAACTGCTGCCTGGCCTCCGTCGCCACACTTGACAAAGGACGTTGTGTTGTGTCTCTGTCAGAGCAGGACCTCGTGAGGACCAGGCTTGCATCTTATGCATCCTGAAAATTATCTGTCCCTGACACGCAGTAGGCACTCGATAAATGTCTACCGAAACCGAAATGAATTGTACTACTGGGGGAATCTAATACACGCCAGGCACAGGGGTGAAAGGTGGAGCATATTAGCACAGTAACGGGAAATAAAGCAGATTATGAGAGGTTAATTAGCACGTACCATTTCCCCCTAGAGTGGAAATCACCAATCTTTAGCTAATCTCTAAATATTAAGAGATTTTGTACAAAACCCC